AATGTCTCTCTGCAGATAACTAGCTAGCTGAAATTGTAGTAATCATGTTTTTTGGGCACATTGGCTTCCATTTAGCTGAGGATTTAATAAAGTTACCATGGTAAAAATAAAAAAAATTGCCATCCGAATGAGACCTAGCATTAGCAATAGCTATCTGCCTAGCAATATCTCTCTGCAGACAACTAGCTAGCTGAAACTTATCCCTTTACAAAGCTTGTTAACCATGTTTTTTAATGGCAAAATTGTAGTAACCATGTTTTTTTTTTAACACAGTGACTACTTTTTAACTGCATGTTCGCTAACATGGTGAAAAAAAAAATAGCCACCTTAACGAGGCCTAGCATTAGCGAGGATTGCCCTCTCTTCTGGAAACTAGATAGCTGAAACCACGGTGAAATTGTAGTAATCATGTTTTTTGGACACATTGGCTTCCATTTAACTGCAAATTTACTACAGTTATCATGGTAAAAATAAAAAAAATTAGCCATCCGACTGAAACCTAGCATTAGCAATAGCTATCTGCAGATAACTAGCTAGCTGAAACTACAGTGAAATTGTAGTAATCATGTTTTTTTTTTTGTTTTTTTTGATGGGGGGCACATTGGCTTCCATTTAACAGCAAATTTAAAACAGTTACCATGGTAAAAATAAAAGCCATCTGAATGAGACCTAGCGTTAGCAGTATCTCTCTGAAGGAAACTAGCTAGCTGAAACTTATCCCCTTACAAGCTTGTTAACCACGTTTTTTTCTAGCAAAATTATAGTAACCATGTTTTTTGGCACATTGGCTTCCATTTAACTGCAAATTTACTACAGTTACTATGGTAAAAATAAAAAATAGTCATCTGAATGAGACCTAGCAATAGTAATATCTCTCAGCAGACAACTAGCTAGCTGAAACATCCCTTTACAAAGCCTGTTAACCACATTTTTCTTATATTAAAACTGTAGTAGCCATCTTTTTTTGGAACAGTGACTTCATTTAACTGCATATTTGCTAAAGGTATTATGGTGAAAATAAAAAATAGCCGTCTGAATGAGGCCTAGCATTAGCGAGGCTTATCCATTCTGCAGATAACCAGCTAGCTGAAACCATGGTTTTGCTAAGGGTCAGGCCTCATCTTTGCTGCAGCTTTGCGGCTTTGTTAACTCTGCATTATATCTGGAGGGAACGTCTCACTACATTGATAATGTTCAGAGTTAATGAAGTCGTTAAATGTCCAATTAGCATGTGCTCTGCATATTCGCCCGCTCTGTTTGTTTATGCAAGCTCAGCTGATGTTGTGGGAACAGTGTTTGCGTATCCTCGGGTGCCGTTTCCTCTGATACAGATTACGTTTATTGTTTTTCGGAATGGCCTTGTCAACCTGTACACAAGCTGGCGAGCTGCAGCCGCATCATTATGAAGTTAGCTATTCACTTTTAATGATCGACTTAATTATGTGTTTATCTTTGTGGATTTGGCAACTTTTAGTATTTCAAGCACACTTATCTGCAGATGAGCCTCAGTTAGACCGTAGTTAGATCTGGATGATTAGTTGGTTAGATATTTGTTAAGTTGGTAAGTTAGTTGGGTTAGGTAATCATTAAGTTAAGTATACTGTAGTTAGTTCGGTAAATTATTTAGTTCAGTTTAGTTAGTTAGTTTGCTAGTAAGTAAGTTAGCTAGTTAGTAACAAAAAAGGTTAGTTGATTTTAGTTAGTAGGTTAGTTAGTTGGGTTATGTAAATTATTAGTTAGTTAAGTTGTAAATTATTATAGAGTTTAGTTAATTACTTAGCTGGTTAGTGAGCCAGTTAGTAAATTAGTAACTAAATTAGTTAGTTAGTTAGTTAGTTATAGTAAGTTAGTTAGTTGGGTTATGTAAATTATGTATGTAGTTAAATGTAGTTAGTTAGGTAAATATTCATTTGAGGTTAGTTAGTTAGTTAGTTAGTTAGTTAGTTAGTTAGTTAGTTAGTTAGTTAGTTAGTTAGTTAGTTAGTTAGTTAGTTAGTTGGTTAGTTAGTTAGTTAGTTAGTTAGTTGGGTGAACAAAAAATTATTTGAGTTTAGTTGGTTTGCTTGTTAGTAAGTTAGCTAGTTAGTAGCTAAATAAATTAGTTGAGTTTAGTTAGTTATTTAGATAGTTAGTATTTAGTTGAGTTTGGTTAGTTTGCTAGTTTATCTAAATGATTTAGTTAAGTTTAATTATCTGTAGTTAGTTAGCTTAATTAGTAAATGTATTTAGTTGGTAAATAAATGAGTTAGTTAGTTAGTTAGTTAGTTAGTTAGTTAGTTAGTTAGTTAGTTAGTTAGTTGCTTAAGTGTTTTACGAGCCAAAAACCTTTTATCTACAATATTTACATCATTTCCTTGAAAAAAAATAAGTTAATATATTTTAAAATATTTAAATATACATTTATAAATAACTTTTCACCGTGCTCATATGAGGGTTAATAGTGATGCAACACATTTTTTATTGTTTGTTTGAATTTAATATTTTAGGGTTAATTGGTAGTTTCTTATTAGTTAAAGAAAAAAGTGCAATTTCAGTGAAAAGGGTTTTATATCAGTTTTGTTTGTTCTAGTCTGGAAAAAATCTAACTTTTACACTTTCACTGTGTGTGTGTGTGTGTAAACATGGTAAATCTGCTAATCCTGCTTTAAAACTGGTATCAGATCATTAGGGGTCAGGAGAGACAGACTGCTGCTCATGCATCTCAAGTGAATCCTCCGTGAGCACCTGAGATCAAATTTCAATGGGAGTCACTTACAAAGTCAATGTTCCCTGGCAATCAATCCTATCACAGTAGTGTTGACAGTATGACATTGGGCTTTTATTTTTAGCAACATGAATCTGCATCTAGAGCATTAAACACAATGGGTATTTTAAACAGGCATCAGGCACTTTCTGTCAGATTGCATTTCTGATGTTTTAGACCCCATTTAGCCCTTGGACCGCACAAACACCTGAGCTGGATGTTAAGGTGTAAAATGTGTAAAGGTCACTTTACCACAGGTGAAATGTCTTCTGCGAGAGATCTTTTCCTGTTGAATTGGTGCTGTCAATTCAGATTTCACCTATTCCTTTGCCTTTCATGTTTTTAACCTCAGGTTTCACATATTCTTGTTGTGATTAATTGCTTTTATCATTACAAATGCTATTGTCAGGACCTAAACTGCAAAACTATAATCAGTTAGTTAGTGGGTTCATGTAAATTATTAGTTAGTTAAGTTGTAAATGATTAGTTTTTGAGTATAGTTAGTTAGCTAGTTAGTGACTTAATAAATTAGTTAGTAACTAGTTAGTTAGTTAGTTAGTTAGTTGGTTAGTTGGTTAGTTAGTTAGGTTCAGCTTCCAGCCTCCGCCACTGAGACTGCAGTAACACATGGAAATGGTCGTGCCCAACTGAGTCTGGTTTCTCTCTAGGTTTTTTTTTTTTTTTTTTTTTTTCACTTTCGCCAATTGGTGAAGTTTTTTCCTCGCCGCTGTCGCCACTGGCTTGAATGGTTCGGGATCTATAGAGCTACACATCAATGGATTTGCTCTTCAGTGTAGTGATTATTAAACCAAACTGAACTGAGCTAAGCTGAACTGAACTGAACTTAAACTCAGTAAATTAAAACAGTGATGTTCAATTTCCAATTATCTTTTATGTGAAGATGCTTTACACAGTGTACATTGTAAAAGCGCTATACAAATAAAGGTGAATTGAATTGAAAAGTTAGTTAGTTAGTTAGTTAGTTAGTTAGTTAGTTAGTTAGTTAGTTAGTTAGTTAGTTGGGTTAAGTTTACTAGATATAACTGACTCACTAACTAACTAGCTAACTAACTAACCTCAATAACCAATAATTTACAACTCAACTTAACTTACTAATAAACTAACTAAACTAAACTCAATAATTTAGTTAGTTACTAGCTAACTTAATAGTTAGCAAACTAACTTAACTCAACAAAATAATTTACATAACCCAACTAACTAACTAGCTAACTACCTAACTAAGCTAGTAAGTAACTAAAGTATTGAATTGAGTTTAGTTTGATAGTTAGTATGTTAAGTTGGGTTGTAAATTATTAGTTAGTTAGTTAGTTAGTTAGTTAGTTAGTTAGCTAGTTAGTTAGTTAGTTAGTTAGTTAGTTAGTTAGTTAGTTAGTTAGTTAGTTAGTTAGTTAGTTAGTTAGTTAGTTAGTTGGGTTATAAAAATTATTTAGCAGTTTAGTTAGTTTGCTAGTTATTGTAAATTATTTAGTAGTCATCATTCTCATATGATTGTTAATAGGGATGCAACATATTTTTTATTGTTTGTTTGAATTTAATATTTTAGGATTAGTTAGTTTTTTCATTAGTTGAGAAAAACGTGCAATTTCAGAGTTTCAGAGCTGCAGAATTATTGCTTTAACATGTATAATTACCCAAAAATAAAATTATTTAAATTATGTTGCAGAATAATGATGAAGTACAATAGGTAGCCATTTAAAACAAAGTCACATTAGTAAATGTTAGTTAATGCATCATAATTTAGTTTTATTAGGGATCAATATTAAAGTTATCATCAGATGGGGAAAGCCCCACCCACTAGTGACAATATCTCACTCATTAATATAAACAGCCCCGAGTGAGAAGCAGCCATCGGTCTTAAGTGTTGTGAATCTGCCACTATGCTGACACACAGGCTTTTGTAGCTCCACCCTCTTTTAAAAAGAACACAATCTCATTTGAATTTAAAGAGGCAGTCACTAAAACGGCATAATTAGGATCAAAGCATAAAAGGGACAGTTTGAGAGAGTTAGAAAACTTATATGTGGTATTTTGAGCTGGAATTTATTTTACATCTTGTATGAAGGAGCATAATAGGTCCCCTTCAAAAGACAAATCATAAATAATTATTCACTGTATTTTGAAGCGTCCATAATATCAATATTGTGTATGTCCATTATCACAAGATAAAGATCAAAATCTGTAACATCGTCAAATGTCCTCCTGTTTCTAATCTCTCGCTTTTGTTGTTGTTTTAAAGGCAAACCCACAGTCTGGAAGCTAAATGCAGGATGCCAATGGATCCAATCTATTAGCAGGACACGCAGCGGCGGCGGCGAGGCAAAACCCAACAGCCTTCTTTATGCAAGACTCTCCCAGACCGTGGATATTACAGTATGTGCCTCTCTGGAGCACACAAGCAATGTTTTCTTTCTTTTGCTTTTTTAAATATAGAAAGAGAATCATCATCAATTCACTTCACGGAGGGAAACGCTTTGGGAATACGCCGCGGATGTTTCAGTCAAATATTATGGGAAATGTTCAATTGCGACGGTCCAGTCCAGTGCCAAAGGATTGAAGCGTGTGGATTTAACATTCTCCCGAAGGCTCCGAAAGACTCGATGGATTAATGCTGACAAAAGTATTGACTTCGGTACCAATCTGTGGTGAAATTTGAAAAACATACTAACATTTAAGCGCTGTTGAAAACGTTCATAAACACCACTGATTGGTCATCGTGCTCATGTGCTCAACAGAAATGACTGTGATTGGCTGTAAAGATCATCGGTTCACCACATGAATCTCGGGGTGCATCGCTAGGCACTCTGCGCCTATAACGGAAGTTCGAAAGCACAAATATTGATTAACATAACCTAAATCATCAAACAGAACAACAAACAAGAGTCGTTTTTCCAAAAAGAATACATTATTTATTATTTTAACATGAACGATCATCGCTTGACAGATTCGGAAAAATCTAGCAAACATTTACATCTGTGTAATGGCTGAAATGTTGCTTGTATATGAAATAATCTAAATATTTAGCTATGATAAACCTTAAAACGTGTAATATTAATACATTAACATATGAAAAAGATTAGTTCTGCTGTTGTTTATAAACTCCAATTTTGATGATGTACAATGAAGATGTTCTCATGTCACACTCAGTGAACCAATCTCATCAGTGCCTTTTCTAGTGCACAAAATTTGTGCACACGACCTACTGATGAATGAGCTATGGTGCTAATTGCATACCTGTCAACCCTCCTGTTGTCCTGGGATTCACCTGTATTTTACAGTTCTATCCCGCTATCATCCCCTAAAAGTATTTTCCCGTATTTTCAGTCTCTATCGGAAGGGTGGCAATAAACATTGAAGAGCCAATCCTCCCTTTATGTAACCCATACATCCGAACCACCAGGGGTCGCCCCTTTCCTCCTAAATGTGAGTCTGTTCTGCGCTTTTGTTGTATTTAGGCATGAAAACTTTTTGAAATAAATATAAAAACAGAGGGATTGACTTTCCTTTTTAATACAGGTGTCGTTGATCCTCCTACGCCATCCTCAAAACAGTCATATAGCAGTGCGTGACTGTCAGCTTACGCGCTTCCCAAACAAATTCTGTACACGTGATTTGAAACGGAGCAAAAGTGCGTGTTTGAACAGACATCTACACATAATTAATATTAATAACATCTAGAGATCTTGGCAGGGGCGGGGCTTTAAGCACAACTAATTTTGTCCTAAATTAGCATAAAAAATTTGGTAAGCAATCGAATGCTTTTATTATAACGTTAGATGTGTGCATTTTTAAAGTGACACTGCTGTTATTTAATGTAATCAAACAAAAAATCTAAACAAATGAGAGATTCCTTCGGCGCTCTTTAATCAGAATGTGTAAGTTATACAGTAAAGAAAAGATTAATGAGATTTGATAACTTGATTATATTTCGTTTTTAATAGCTATTCATAATAATGAATGATATTGCTGACCGTTTAACTGTTTATTTACAATAAAACAGCTCCAGATAAACATATTTAGTCATTTTTTTAAGAAAGGGGGAGAAATATCCTTTATTTCGGTGGGCATATCCCTTATTTTTACATCCCAGTGTTGACAGGTGTGTGATTGAGACATATTAGCAGATACATGGACACTAGGGGTGTGAACCGACACTGATCTTACGCTTCGGTTTGATTATCATATCTTTGATTTGGTTAAAATCAATATCTCTGTGCACTTTTTTTATTTTATTTTCCCTTACAACACAATAGATTTTAAACCCCTATGATTGGTCATTGAGTTCATGCGCTCAGCAGAAAGGGCTGTAATGGTCAGCGCTGTTCACCAAAGACTGAAGAACAGCCGGGGTAAACGCGGAGGAGAAATCTCGCTTTGCAGACACAAGCAGTTCATTGTTTTCTTTTTAAAGTACACATGAAATCAAAACTAACCATATTGATTTTGTCAGCTCGCCTTGCTACAGTAGTTTTGTTGTGAACAATTCATCAGTGCATGTCATTAAGAAAAAAGAAAAATAGTTTGCCCTTGTTATCTTTAATTGAAATCTGAAAATGCCTTTGTTAGATTACGTCTGTCTTAGCTATTGGGCGGGGCTAACACCTAACCACGCCCCCTCCAGCAGTCATTTTTGACAACAAACAGAAATTATAAGCAGGAGGAGTCAGAGTTAGATTGCAATAACTCTCCCCAAACCCTTTCCCTCTCTTTCTGTTTAAAACACCTGCTTTACTACATCCAATCAGCTCGCAGTAGAAAAAACAAGCCACGCCCATTGTTTTCTCATTTAATATTTCGTTTCTCTAGGAAGTGCGTCAGAATATGAAAAAAAAATGGTTGCAGGGTCTAGATCATGTGGACTTTGAGTAGTTGGAGCCTTTTAATTACTCATCCATCGCCACAGTAAGCTACTGCGCCATAGCGCATATCAGATAAATGACGTCAGTATCTAATAACCCAATATAATCTATTACTGAACTGACAACGAATTGTTTGCAACTGCATCGTAGTGAATCGAAGAAATAATTACTTTGGACACCCCTACAGGACACTGGAGCATTTCAAAGCTTTGTAGATCAGTGGATCCACCAGCAGATCACTCATATATCAGCTCATTGACAGATCAGCTGATAGACACGACATTGAAATGCTTCATGTATGTGTGTTTGCACTCGGTGAACTGATGACCTTCACAGCCAATCACAGTCACTGCTGGTGAGTACATGAACACCGTGGCCAATCAGCAGTGTTTAACAGCACTCAAAAGCTTGCGAGAAATGGATGTTTTTAAAATATCAGTAGCGAATTCGATACTTTTGACAACCCTACGATTGGAATATTGACTGAACTGCTATCGAGTTAACGTTTGTGCGCCTTCAGGAGCACTTTATTATGGATTCGTCTGTATTGTCTCAGCTAATGACTCTCTCTCTCTCTCTCTGCGTCTCTCTGAAACACACGGACGGATCGATACGCAGCTGATTAACAAACATTGCAGTGTGTTCTTGGGATCTGCAGATTAGGTCAAACAGGAGAGATCATCGATTATCCCAATGCACTAAAAACTTTCCCAATCGCTCGCGTATCATCGAGGATTGACGGAGAACTCTATATCCGAGTGTGCGAGTATGATAAGCACACTGCTGAATAAACACTCTTCTTTTATTCTCCCCTCCAGTTGACTGTGGACGTATTTGTATGTGAAGTATACCTTCAGCCATCTCTGCGTTTAATCATCTGACTTAAAGGCGAAAATGATCATATAAAAAAATAAAAACAAATAATGTGGGATGGAATTTTATGCTTTCATAGGTACTCTATGTGGATTTATAAAGAAATAAAGTATTTTTCTTCAAGGCCTGTGGAAATGGGTTTTCATTAATCAGGTGTTTTTGATTGAGCGTCGCTGACCTTGTTTGCATTATTAAGGTAAATGTGAACATAAGAGAGGTTTATGAATGTATGCACACATAAAAATGTTTCTAATGCATCTGGTTTGATCAAGTATGTCTTTATGGGTCCCGTTCTGTGCATTGTGTGTCTGGAGGCCAATGCCATCATTTACTGGAAATCATGAATGGATTTCAGCAATGCACAGTGGCTAAAATGCTCATTTTCGCAGAGAAATGTATTCATTTATATCAGGGTTGTCTTTTTAGTAAAATATGCAGATTGCTAAAACTGCATAGTTTCCCAGCAGACAGAGGACGTCAACATGACGTCAGATTGACTTTGTACTAGAGGTCTGCATTCCCGCGGGAGCCTCGGAACCCGACCAGATTTCTTGCGGCGCAGGACTAAATTTCCGAATAAAGCATGGGAGCGGTGGGTAACTGGTGTATTTTGCACATGAGCGGTCGGTCTAAAAATATCAACCCAAGCTCATTCTGCAAACGTAGTCCCGCGGATGTTTCTGAAGACTGCGATTTATGTGGCCGGAGGAACGTATGGCTGCATTTCATTGTTTTAAGCGAACATTATGGGGCGGTATGATGCCGCTCCTCTTCGTGCTCGCCGGCTAACAGCAACAAAAAGGTGTTGCATGCAGAACTGTTGCAAACAATTTATTTGTGTTGAGTTTAAACAATTTAAATAGAATAATGTTCAGCTTAATTCGTTTGTTTAAATTCAGCCCAAATAAATAGTTTACAACCTATTAACATAAATAATTTAGTAAATCCAAGGAATCATCTTTGAATATTTTTTTCAGTGATGTGGAGGGCTTTCCCGCCGCAATCGGTTTGTCCGGTTAGCTTGTCATGTATGTCGGCGGAGCGGGTTCCAGAAATCAGGTGAGACAGAAACAGAATCCAAAAAATAAAGTGAACGAGTTCATAGGGTGAGAGTGTGGTGAAATCTGAAATCGTGGTCAAAATCAGACGAGGGCTTGTCTTTTTCTGGACGGCTTCTGTAAATCGTTGCTTGGGTTTAGGGAAGTGAGCGGGCCGGCCGGCCGGCAGGCGGGCGGGTCAATCGGTAAAACCGGTAAGGTTTAGGGAAGGAGGAGTAGAAGGGTGGGTCGGCTGATTAGCCGGTCGCCCAGTCAATCATTCAGTCCTTCAGTCAGTCGGTCACTCGACAGCGTCCTCCGGTGGCTTTACACGAGAACAGCATGGGCATGAACGGCGCTCATGAGAGGCGTTCAAGATGCGAAAAAGTGCACACGGCGGTCTCTCGCAGATTCGCGAAAACAAAAACTGCACAAATACGTACCACCAGAGACGTATTTTTCGGTCTCCAGAAATGTCCGCGGGACTATGTTTGCAGAATGAGTCTGGCATGTATGTATGCACGTGTATATGAGTGTGAATAAGAGTGTATAGATGTTTCCCAGAGATGGGTTGAGGCTGGAAGGGCTTCTGCTGCCTAAAACATATGCTGGATAAGTTAGCGGTTCCTTGCGCTGTGGCAACCCCAGATAAATAAAGAGACTAAGCCGAAAAGAAAATGAATAAATAAAATTATTAAATTATTAAAAATAATTCCTGAATATACAAACATGAAGTGAATTGGTTTGTACTCATCAATATTACTGTACATTTTTTATTATTAATATATTGCTATTTAAAAACTTTTTAGTCATGTATGTACAATTTAAATTATTTATACATGTATTTATTTATATTATTATCCGTTATTACAATAATTTATAATATTATAGTTATTATACATTTAAGTTAAACTAAATGAAACGGTATCAGACATACTGTGAACATTTGCTGAATCTGTTAAACATCATTTAGCAAATATTAATAAAAACATTCAAAGGGGGGGGCTAATAAATCTAACTTAAACTGTGTATGTATATATGTATATATATATATATTTATATATATATATATATATATATATATATATATATATATATAGATAGATAGATAGATAGATAGATAGATAGATAGATAGATAGATAGATAGATAGATAGATAGATAGATAGATAGATAGATAGATAGATAGATAGATAGATAGATAGATAGATAGATAGATAGATAGATATAGATATGTGTGTGTGTGTGTGTGTGTGTGTGTGTGTGTGTGTGTGTGTATGTATGTGTGTGTGTGTGTGTGTGTAGGCAGCACAGTGACACAGTGGGTAGCACAATTGTCTCACAGCTAGAAGGTTACTGATTCAAGCCTTGTCTGGGTCAGTTGGCGTTTCTGTGTAGAGTTTGCATGTTCTCCCCTTGTTGGCTTGGGTTTCCTCCGAGTGCTGAGTTGTCCATTATGTATGTGTGTGAATGAATATGAATGAGTGTTTCCTAGTGATGGGTTGCGGCTGGAAGGGCATCCGCTGCATAGAACATATGCTGGATAAGTTGGCGGTTCATTCCGCTGTGGCGGATTAATAAAGGGGCTAAGCCGAAAAGAAAACGAATGAATCAATGAATATATATATATATATATATGGCATGTATGATCAAATCAGATCAGATGTGTCCTAAATAATGCCTCATCTTTATTCCAGACTTGCTCGGGCTAGTGGTGGTGCGAATATCATCCTAATGCAACACACTGAAGGGTGTTTTGAGCAGTTCTTTAGGGCTGAGAGTGTAATGGAAGTGAAGCCGAGCAGAACCCGTATCACACACTAGTGATTTTCAGTCCTGGATAATAACTCATTACTCATAATCTCAATACTGGAGAGAGAATGTGTTTGTCTTGTCAGATCTTCACAGATGCATTGATTATTATCTGGATCCTGAAGCGTTTCTGCTGCAGGAGTGAAGCGGTAATGACTCTCATCTCCACATGAT